GGCCGAGGAGGAAAGCTTCCCCGGAAACGGCATCGTTATAGATGATCGAACGAGCCATCGAGCCTTCTGTTGATGACACGGTGGAACTCTCAATGAAAGCACCAATGTCGATGTCAAAACCGGCAGATCTCGGGTAGGAGGTCCCAAACTGTGCGTCTGAGGATCGAAGGTAACATGAGGCAGGGGACACGATGTTTACCCAGGTTCGGGCCCTCTTAATGGAGGTAATACCCTACTTCCTGCTTGATTGACTTTGATGAGTATAGGGGTTACAAGAGTTGATCTACCTCGAGATCGTAATGGCTAAACCCTAGATGTCTAGCCTGTATGATTTGTCTTAGCCTCTACGGACTAACCCCTCCAGTTTATATAGACACCGGAGGGGCCTAGGGTTGTACAGAGTCGGTTTATAGAGAAAGGAAACTACACATCCGGATGCCAAGCTTGCCATCCATGCAAGGGAGAGTCCCATCCAGACACGGGGGAAGGCCTTCTATCTTGTATCTTCACGGCCCATCAGTCCGGCCCAGGTCACATAGCCCCGGGACCCCCTAATCCAGGACTCCCTCAGTAGTCCACCTCGGATAGATCCCATCCGGAAGATAGTACACATAGTTGTATGTGCGGCCATCTGATTCGAAGGTCACTAGTGGTTCTTCTCAATTTGCTAACTTGGCAAAAAGAGGTGACCGGCCGAGCACGTTGATGTCATTGCAAGATCCATGCGTCCCAAAATATGAATGCCAAAACCATGTTTCTTGATCGGCAATGGCCTCAAGGATGATAGTGGCATCCTTCCCACGACCCTTGAACTGTCCATGCCATGCTTTTGGGCAATTTTTTCATTTCCAATGCATGCAATCGATGGAGCCTAGCTGTAAGTGCATCTAGTGTCACCCCTAGTTGTTTTTGGAGTATTGACGATAAACTTGGTTGAGGGACTAATGTGTTTGTGAGATTCACAGGAGAACACATGTAGAAGTCCCTCTTAATTCAGTTTACCCATCGAAGATGACCCCTAAAAGTGTATGAAGACATTGAAGACAATGGTGGTTCGCGAAGACATTCGTGTTGAAGATAATGTCACGTGAAGACATTTGCTTGAAGGCAATGAAGCGTGAAGATTCGTAGTTTCATTTTTCTTTTTTCCCGAGTCATAGGAACCATCAAACTGTTAAGTGGGTCGAGGTAAACAAAGTCAGAAAACCGACATGATGCTCAACCTAAAGTCACATGTCTTCGACTGAAGATAATGAGAGAAAATCTCTTCCAAAATTGGTTGAGTTAGCTTTACTTGGAGCCCAAGTCATGCTGTCACATGTGTTTGAAATCCGACCATTGGACACATGTCGGTTGTCCATTGACCCAGGGTCATTTCGGACATATCATGTTAGGTTGCCTCCTGGCTATAAATAGCCCACCCCCTTCACTATAAGTTGGTGTCTGCTCCGAGTATTGTGTACGGTTTTTGTCGTTTGAGAGCAATCCACCTCCGAAGCCTTTGAGAGAGAATCCTTGCGAGGACAAACCCAAAACACCCAGAGCCCAAAGTGCATTAAGCATTACTGGAGCCTTTCTATTCTGTGTGAACCGAAGACTTATTACACTTGAAGACTATGATCTTCCAGTCGGTTAGGCATCGTGTTCTGAGCATCCAAGAGTCATTGTGGATTGCTGGTGAACAAAGTCTATGAAGGTTTGGAAGTCTACCTTGAAGACTTTCTTGAGTGATTGGGCGAGATCCGCGGGTCTTGGCTCAAGGGGAATAAGGTGAAGGCTTGGTCTTCTGAATTCAATCTCAGCCTCCCTAACCAGACATACAGTTGTCACAACAACTGGAACTGGTCTACCAAAACCTTGTCTTCATCAAGCAACTGGTTCTACCACTTCACTCATTTACTTACAGTTTAGCTTCGTGAAATCCTTGCTTGCTTGTTCTGTTCGAAGACATTGTGTGAAGACATTCTCTCTGACTGTGTATTTGTCTTCACACTATCTTCCAAATATGATTGGTTCTACCTAGCTGCTACTTGTCTTCATGCGTCTCCTTTATTGTACTTTGACACTCTTTGCATGCCTAGTGTAGTTTATCTTCCGCTGCATCCTGTTTAGTTACTGTTTTAGTTTCCTGTCTTTGAAGACATTGCTTGTTTCGAAGACTTCCATAAAAATCACCTATTCACCTCCTTTAGTTGATAACTAGAACTTTCACTAGCATACCTAGAAACCCACGAGCTTTGTTCATCTCCAAAAGCTCCGAGTGTCCCGAGCATTGGGTGCTCTCAAATACTCTGCACCAAACACTTCTACCATAGTCTTTGTAAATTGTTTGACATAGAAGATAGAGGTGCTCTCTGCCATCGCAAAGTTCTGATCAATGTAGTCCGCCGGAACGCATAGGCCATCATGTGCGAAGTGTCGGTGACCTTCTGCTCGTTGCTATGTCCAAGCAACCCGGCACAATTCCTTCTTTGCTCGAAGGATCGCATGTTGCTTCACGAAAATTGCAAATGTGTATGAACAAGTCTTTGGACATTCTGAACGGGCGTCAGAAGTACCACTGAAAAATGGATGGTGAACCAAAATAATTGCGCATCAACCTCTTGTGCATCGCCACTAGCATACACGGAACCGTCGTGCTTCGGCTTCTTCCTCTTGTGCATCGCCACTAGCATAGAAAGTCCTCTTCTTCGTTCAAATCAAATCCCTCATTCGATGAGGAATCTTCCACGAAAGAGGAGTCGCACGAGCTCATCTACAATGCGGAAATCACTGTCAAACTACCTCCCCAACCACAATACAAAAACCCTTCAAGTTTGCTCATTTTTACCTTGGGGGAATTTCGTCAAACACCTTGCTTGGGGGGAGGGAGGAAGAAATCGGTCGGTTGCGGCTTGTCCGGGCGGCGACGGCGGTACGACAGAGGAGACGACCGCAATCCCGCAGAGAAGACGACGTAGGCGGGCGAGCGGCTATGCGTGGCGGGAAGAACGGTAGGCGGGCGACCATCGGTTGGTCTTGGCTAGGAACAAGCCCAGCCCGACCACGACCTCGCCGTGGAAGGCATAACGGCGACCGGCCCGACCACAACCTCCAGCGGCTGAAAACGAATCGGGGCTGCGGGGGACAGCCGACGCTAATACCACGAGGCAGGCGGCGGGGGACAGGCGGGCGTAGTGGCAGCGTGGCGGGCGGCCGTCGGGCAGGCTGCAGCAGTGTCGATTTTGGGCCAAATTAGCCCATGACGCCGTTAGACGGACGGACGACGGTCGCGCGGAAGCGGGAGGAAGGCAGTTGGGTGGTTGGCGCGCGGCTGGCAAATTTACATCTCCTGTAGGTGGAGATGTATATTTGCATCACGTAGTGTTTTATTTATATCTCCGTGAGGCAGAGATATATTATATTTTTTTGCATATACATCATGTGTCGGAAAGGGGTTTTTGGGCCTCGAAAATGCAAAAGTAATTTTTTTCTGCAACTATTATTGGAGATGCTCTAACTTAGTAGGCACGTCCAAATAGTGTGGCTATGAATTTATTTATTTGTAGGCTACATAAAATAATAATTTTGTGGTTTAAAAACCAAAGACTAATTCCATTTGAAACTATATATATTTGTCTTTGTGGTGTACACCATAGCTTAGAAGATATACTGATGAAAACTTCATATGCACATACTACACATCTGTATATATAGTACATTTCTCCTTTAGAATATTTAGGGGTCTCAAAATAATAGTTGTAGCCTTTTAAACAAGTGCTCCATGTTACCTGAGAAGAGAAGAGTAATACGTATCCACGTTAAGGAAACATACCATATACACTATGTTTTCGTGGCGCGTAAACATCTATGTGGAACGTGACCAGATTGTTTTTCTCTCCTCCTTGCTCCCTGGCGGCTGGAACCCTAGCCGCCGCTAGGAGAGGCCATCTTTCAGCGCTGTCCTCCGGCGGCTCCCCTTCGTCGGCGACCTCGGTCGTCGGTGGTGAGGGGGGTCACTGATCCACACGTGTGGATTGTTTTTACTCACGTGTAGTCTATGTCTTTAGCCTGTTCATCGTCTTCGCTTCGGCGGCGACGATGAAAACGCTGAATAAAGATTTTTCGGATCCTTCCTAACGAGGCCATCGGTCCTACGGTTGGGGGTGGATTTGGAAGCCAGTCTGTTCAAGTAAGGATGGCGTGGCGGCGGCATCCTCGTGGTGGACCTGTGTCCTTGGGCTCCGCCGTTGCGACGACGTTTGCTCCAGCGTCGGTGTGGAGCTTGGGAGGTAGTCCAAGAGCGATTGCAGATTATGGTCTGCATCGACGACATCTGGAAGACGGAACGTGTGCTGGGTTCGTGATTCGTGGATGGCAGGCATAGTTTCCTCCTTCAGCGTCTTAGTCGTGATGGGATGCCAAATCTGGAGTTCGATGGCGTGTCCGGAGTGTTGCCCCAATACGATTCGTTCAACGACAATGGCTTTACTTTTGTTGAGCTATTTTGGAGGTCCGCAAAGCTGCATATCAGCGATGAAGCCGCGTCGAGTTCGGGTGAGGAGATAATTCGTCATTCTTTTCTTCGGTGGCTATTATGGTGATGCCGGAGATAGATGATGGGCGTTGGTGTCAAACTCAAAGATGTTTTGCTATCTTTTTAGTTTTGTCATGTCGGTTTTTACGTGATTTGTACTTTTTTTTTTATGATATGAATGAGATTATGATATGTTGGTGTCAAATTTAAAGATGTTTTGCTATCTTTTTAGTCTTGTCAGGTCAGTTTTTACGCGACTTGTATTTTGTTTTTTATGATATGAATGAGACACCAAACACGTATTACCATAACAAAAAACAGCTCTGGGGAACAGGCGATTTGGTGGAGGCGGTTCTAGAATCGAGCGCAAACAGGGCCAGACGAACCGGACCACCGGAACCACAATCTCGAGACAGACCGACCTGCCGGAGCGCGAGAGTCGAGGCGGCGGCCGGCGGCCGGCGGGGTAGGACAGGCCGGCAAGATGTCGTCGGTGTATGTGCTTGAGCCGCCGACGAAAGGGAAGGTGGTGGTGCAGACAACGGCCGGTCCGATCGACATCGAGCTGTGGGCCAAGGAGGCCCCCAAGGCCACGCGCAACTTCGTTCAGCTATGCCTGGAGGGCTACTACGACGGCACCCTCTTCCACCGGGTCATCAAGTCCTTCCTCATCCAGGGCGGCGACCCCACCGGCTCCGGCACCGGTGAGATCCTAAACCCTAACCAGACCTACGATATAGGGTTTCTGATTCCGGATTTCACTGTCGGTCTTTACCCAACTGAATCGCGGATTGTGCATCAAATTAATGATTAGTGTCTCAGTTTTGAATATCGTTCGAGCCATACATGTGATTGGTGGATTTGGGGGTGTTCTGAACTGAACCTGATGAGTATCTGACATCAATCTGCAGGGGGTGAGAGCATCTATGGGGCACCGTTCGCTGACGAGTTCCATTCACGTTTGAGGTTTAATCACAGGGGTTTATTGGCATGTGCCAATGCTGGCACACCTCATTCGAACGGAAGCCAGTTCTTTATTACCCTTGACCGCTGCGATTGGCTTGATAAGAAGAATACAATTTTTGGGAAGGTACGTGTCTACCTTGACTGTCCCCATTGGAGGTGATTATACAGTTTACCATGTATGTATGTGTGCGTCCAGGTCACTGGGGATTCTATCTTCAATCTTCTGGCCTTGGCTGATATCGAGACTGATAAGGATGATCGGCCTGTATACCCACAGAAAATTCTTTCAGTTGAGGTAGTTATTCCCCTCATGTTTCATTTAGTTCTGGTACTTCTGCAATGAAGCAGATTCTTCTATCTGTTTTACTGTTACTTGTGAAGCCTAAGTAGATGTTGCTTAGTTATGTGTGTTTCTGCTTTTATAGGTACTCTGGAACCCATTTGATGATATAGTTCCACGACAACTTAAGAAGATTCAGCCTGCTCCCAAGGCTGATGCTGAGAGGAAACCAGAGAAGAAAGCTGTTAAGTATGTTCTCTGCATGTTGGAACCAATTTTCCTTGCAAAGATAAGGTATCGGTGTTGGATTTCATTTGACTGTCCATTCATCCTGTAGGCAACTTAATGTGCTCTCGTTTGGAGATGAAGTAGAAGAAGAGGAGAATGAGGCAGCTTCTTTTGTGAAGGACAAAATAAAGAGTATCCACGATGTGCTCGATGACCCCCGTTTTCTTAAAGTGGAACCACAGGTTGAACAACTGGTGAGTATTATCAATTGTGTCCCTTGTGCTTGAGGAAATCTGTAGGATGTTAACCAATCCTTTGCTAGCAAACATATTGCACCACAAAAACCTAAAGAGACCTTGTCCAACTGGCGGACATGGCATTTTATACTGTGCAGCACACTTCTGCTATGTTAGTGTGCATACCATCTGAAACCAGAGATGTGTGTTGCTAGCTTTCTTACTTAGTCAACTTTATTCTTTTGACTTATAGTTGTGTAGATCATGCTTCCTCACTGGTTCCCAATCAACAACTTTAGAAGGCCAGTCACAAATGGGACCATTTTCTTTATTTTTTTCTAGCATTCTCTCTTTAACAGCACTAACTACCTAAGGAGCACTTTTGTACCGAGTGCTTTGTTGGACTAATTTCCTGTCTTTTGTCTTCTATTGATTATTCATATAGTTAAATATATTCCTGTTATACACCATTAATAACTCAAATACATTTTTCGTCTTGAATTGGTTTAGGACATGAGTTGTATCCTGGGCTCTGATCAGGTTTTGCTTAATAAGAGCTACTTGCTTACTATTGAATATTTTTAGACCTTGTCAAATTTGAACACCATTGTGCTTGTTGCAAATATCCAGTCCAAGGAGGAAGAGGAGAAGAAAAATGAAACTGTCCTATCTATCAGGGAGGCTTTAATCTCGAAGAAAGCTGAATCCAGAGAGCCAGAGCATGATCCAGAAAATGATGATTCTCCTGAAGATGAGAATGAGGAGGATTTTGACAACAGGATGCGTTCACGGATTCTAAAAAAGCGTAGAGAGCTTGGGGATATTCGGCAGAGTCAATCTTCCAAGAAAGGTAATTTGCTATTCCTGTTTCTATTAAGATGGCCCTTCTCCAGTTCAGCCATTTACTGTGCCATGACAGACATAATGAGAGGCAGGATTATGTAATTTCCTGCAGCTACTTGCATTTTTTTGGCTGATGTCACATGATTGCTGCATATAAGTTGGAAAACTGAGCAATCTGTTTCCCCCTCTTTGATACAGATAAAACTCATCAGAAGGATAAAGAATTACCAGCTCACAGGTTCTATTATTATGTCTACCTTATCCATATGTTCCTTATCCTTATTCCTTATGCACTGTGTTTTTCTTCTGCAAATATCTATTGGTAGTTTAGTTCAATGTGGTAGGTTATCGTTATGATGTTTTGATCAACCAGAATATCTGTTCTTGTGAACAACACTATTCCTACATGTCCTTTTAGTCCTGAGCTTTTGTTTAATACTAAGCGTTAGTTTCCTGAAAACTCATTTATAAGTCTGTTACTACTTACAAGTATTCATATCTGGTAACAGGCAATAAGTTACCCAGGGACATAATATCACCATTCTGAATGACAACAAATTATGTGATCTTTTTCATATTTAAACATAATCATATTGAAATTACTTTGTGACATAAGGTGCATAGTGGACGGCTAAAGCGTGCGGAGAATGTCAAGAGAGGGCGGGGTAGACCGAATTTGACATGGGAGGAGTCCGTTAAGAGAGACCTGAAGGATTGGAGTATCACCAAAGAGCTAGCTATGGACAGGGGTGCGTGGAAGCTTGCTATCCATGTGCCAGAGCCATGAGTTGGTTGCGAGATCTTATGGGTTTCACCTCTAGCCTACCCCAACTTGTTTGGGACTAAAGGCTTTGTTGTTGTTGTTGTTGTTGTTGTTTATATTGAAATTACTTTTCATTGGCTTGCCATTATGATAAATAGTTTAGTTCTGCATATTGTGTGGTCACAATTTTTCTTAGTAGGGTTACCATGTGTCGAATATAACATGTGGTAATCTAAACATAAGTATCTATGTCATGCAGATACTAGAAGAATGGTCTTGTGTGTGTCTGCATGTCTGAACAACAACCTTTTAGTCCCAAATAAGTTGGGGTAGGCTAGAGTGGAAACCCAAAAGATTTCGAAACTTGGTCATATTTCTGGCATGTGATGGCTAACTTCAACGCATCCCTTTCCATGGCTAGTTCTTTGGTGATATTCCAGTCCTTCAGATCTCGCTTTACGGACTCCTCCCATATCAAGTTTGGTCTACCTCGACCTCTCTTGACATTATGCATTGCATGCTATATCCTTCCGCTTCTGGAGGCCTCAGTTGTATATACCCAAATCATCTCAGACGATGTTGGACAAGCTTCTTTTCAATCGGCGTTACCCCAACTCTATCACTATCACGTATATCATCATTTTGGACCCGGTTCTTTCTTGTGTGGCCACATATCCATATCAACATGCGCATCTCTGCTACCCCTAACTGTTGGACATGTCGTCTTTTAATCGGCGAACATTCATCGCCATACAACATTGCAGGTTGAATCTCCGTCCTATAGAACCTGCCTTTTAGTTTTTGTGGCATTCTCTTGTCACAGAGGATGCCATAAGCTCAGCGCCCCTCATCCATCCAGCTTGATTCGATGGCTCACATGTTCATCGATATCATTCTGCAACATTGACCCCAAATGTGGAAAGGTGTCCTTCTGAGGTAACCATCTGCCCATCAAGGCTCCTCCTCGTGCCTAGTAGTACTGAAACTGCACCTCATGTACTCAGTTTTAGTTCTACTAGCCTAAGACCTTTCGATTTCAACGTCTGTCTCTACAACTATAACTTTCTATTAATCCCCGTTTGATTGTCGTCGACTAGCATCACATCATCCGCAAAGAGCGTACACCATGGGATATTTCCTTGTATAATATCCCTTGTGACCCCATCCATCACCAAAGCAAAAAGATAAGGACTCAAAGCTGACCCTTGGTGCAGTCCTATTACTTGGAAAGTCATCAGTGTCGCCATCATTTGTTTGAACACTTGTCGTAGCATTATTGTACATGTCCTTGATGGGGGTAATGTACTTTGTTGGGACTTTGTGTTTCTCCAAGGGCCACCACATTACAATCTGCGGTATCTTACAGTAGGCCCTCTCCAAGTCAATGAACACCCTGTATCTCTCCATAAGTTGTCTTACCAAGAAAATGCCTCCCATGGTCAACCTCCCAGGCATGAAACCATTTGGTCATGCTTGTCATTCTTCTTAAGCGGTGCTCAATGAATTTCTCTCATGATGTTACGGCCTGAAGTTCTCAAACATTCATGATGTTACAGACAGTTCATCATAAAAAGCTCTTAATACCATTCAAAACTGCTCTCCTGAAGCACAACTATCAAATACCTCCCAAGATGAAAAGAGGCTCAGAAAAAAAGTTCTTCACTACAACATTGAACAATAGTAACTACTCCCTCCGTTCCTAAATACTTGTCTTTCTAGGCATTTCAACAAGTGACTACATACGGAGCAAAATGAGTGAATCTACACTCTAAAATATGTCTACATACATCCGTATGTAGTAGTCATTTGAAATGTCTAGAAAGACAAATATTTAGGAACGGAGGGAGTAAAATATTATATTTTTTCCTGTGCGTATCATTTATGCACTCTTAGCTTGCAGAATAGGGGAATAAACTAATGCTACATACATATTAGGGCATGTGAAATTATAGCTCTTTAACTCTTTTCAGCTAAAAATGTAGGGGGGACCCTGACAGTTATAGCTCTTCAACTAATTTTGTAAAAAAAAAAAAAAGGGCAACCTGGTGCGTGTAGCTCCCGCTTGCGCAGGGTCCAGGGAAGGGTCCGACCACTTTGGGTCTATAGTACGCAGCCTTTCCCTACATTTCTGTAAGAGGCTGTTTCCAGGACTTGAACCCATGACCTCATGGTCACAAGGCAGCAGCTTTACCACTGCGCCAAGGCTCCCCTTCTTCAACTAATTTTGTAAAGCCTCTAAATTTCAGTTACATGGTGATAGGCTGATAGCAAGTCCACAACACTTGCTAAATGATATGGCTAGAGAACCACAAGTACCCGTAGCTGAATTGATAGGTCTACTTTTTTTTACTGGAGCTGAACGGAATAGAGAACCACAAGTACTCGTAGCTAAATGATATGGCACTATGCGACGGCATACTTGTCGACCATGATGAACTCGAGGGCGGCGCCGCCCTGGAAGTACATGAAGTGGCTCACATATGTGGGAGTTCGCCAGCGCAAGTGCCTTGGAGGCTGGCCTGCCACTGGATGATGTGGAGGAGCAGCCCCTGACTCTAGAGGATGACATCTTCAGCATGCTGTGAATTGTAATCTAGGCTTCCCTGACTTTCGTTGACCGGATATGGTGGATGCGACCTTGTGAGAGCCAGACACAACTTGTCCGGATGACGGGGAACTCTGTGGCCCGTGGAGTCGATCAGCCCTGACATCTCTAAGCCTCGTGCAGTGAGGTGCCCGCTCTCTGCGCTGGTACGCCTCACCCTTTCTCGGCCACCGCGTCCGCCCTGCAGCCGACACATTGAACGGGTTGAGTGGCGCCTAGCTGTCAGCTAGGGTTAGGAGGGAGCGGCGGGCGTGTGGGACGAAGCGGGAGGGAGCAGTAAAACGGGGGAGGCTCAAGGGCAACAAAAAATACTCGATGCTCCACGACTGGCTGACAAAGGAACCAGCGACACTGGGGTGCGAGGAGAGTGCAGCATTTCGAGCAGCCTCATGGTTTGGGGGGATTGTGTAGATACACAATAATTCTTTTCGGTAACCGGGTTACGATGTGTTGAATATAATGTATCTTTATTTAGTCTTACCATACCTGTACTATGCAGATAGTGGAAGAAGAGTCTTGCTTGTTTGCACGTTTGAAACACTTCGAAATTTAAACAGTATTCTGCTATAATCTACTCCCACAGTTGCTCCTGATTTTATTAACAATATGTTGGTAATCTAGTTTAGCAGTTGTCCTCTGAATTTATTAACAATTTAAATGTCCACAGGAGTGATGACGACGACGACGACGATGATCATCAATCATCAAAATCACGGAAACTGTCTTTGAAGAAAAAAGGTATTGGCTCTGAAGCCAATACTGAAAGGATGTCCAGAGGAGATGTTAATTTGCAACTGCTAAATCCAGCTGAACAAGAGAAACATTTGAAAAAACAGAGAAAACGCAGCCTCCAAGGCCGTGAAGAGGAGGTATTGTTTTTCTGCTTTCTTGTGTCCACCTTCCTTGTGCCATTTCATGATGGATCATGCATATTCATATTCCAGCTGACATCTCTTCTACGTGTCAGCTTTTGCTCTTGAAGTTGAGTGCCTAACTGTTTCTTAAACGTCAATTTTTTTCGTTAGACTTTAGCAAAGTTACAGAAGTTCAAGGCTTCCTTGATGAGTAATAAGCCTGCTAATATGGAAACAAAGGCAGAAGACAGTGAGGACTACAAAGAGTGGCATGCCAACCGTCTCACTTTCGCACCTGAATCTTCGAAGGTACTGGTATCTTTGCGGCTCTTCTTTTTCCCGCGCACACAAGGGAAATTGATGCATGAACCTATTTTATCTTTATACAGGATGGTATGACTAGGAAGGATGATCCAAATGACTATGTAGTGGTTGACCCTCTTCTGGAGAAAGGAAAACAGAAGTTTAACAAGATGCAAGCGAAGTTAAAGAAGAGAGATCGTGAATGGGCTGGCAGATCTCTCACATGACCCCTTTTGAGGTGCGTCTGCTAATCTTTCTAGTGACAAATAAATTGGATGGTAGTAGTACCGAACAAATGCTTTGAGCCTTTTATGTAGCTTGTTATCATACCACATTGTAGCGTTGCAGTATCTATAATTCGTTGTGTCTCAGATAAATCTTCTCAGTGATAGTATATCCTTCTGAATTTCTCCCACTTCTCGTTGACTAATTAATTAACACCCGCCTCCTTTTGCCCCCAGAGTTGCATCGTGCAAAAATGTAAACCATCGTACCGTGCAATGTGGCTGCTGCAGTTTTGGTGTTGAGTTGGATTCGGAACCTGAGCATAACAGATTCAGGTTCGTAATGGTAGAGTGACCACATGTGGACTGTCTGTACCAAACTGTAAATAGCAATTGTAGAATACTTTTTTTTAATTGAGAAAAACATTTTGATAATTTACCCTTTAACAAGGCAACGTTACTGTAACATCTGAGATGCACCCTGTCGCATGCCATGCGTATTATAGCCTATCATGTCAACTCTAATCTAAAACAGTTTTGCTAAGTCTCAGTCGACTTAGACTTCGTTAATATTCCTTTGATCTTGCACGGGGACCTGTACAAAAAATTTCTTTTCAGTTTTTTTTTCCTTATATACTACCTCCGTTCCATATCAATACTAAATCAGCGACGAGTAATATGGAACGGAGGGAGTATATCACTTGAGACTTGGTTTGAGACCTAGACACACCCAATCTAAAATGGCCAATGCTAGGCGCTGGCCGACCGGCCGGGAGCTCAGATGGGTCACCCCACGCGCCGTCCGATAGGGGCAGTCATCAGCCGTTGGATCCCACATCTCAGATTTGATCGGCAAAAGAAGCAAACGAGGAATAATCCCACATATCTCGTCCCCTGCTCCCAACGGCGCCCACGGAGTGCCACCCAACGCCTGCAGCAGCTTGCCGTTGCCACCCACTCATGCAGCACACTCGCTGGTCTCGTTGCTGCAGACCCGCTTGGGAGCGCGCTGGTCTCGTTGCTGCAGACCCGCTTGGCCGCTCCCAGTACTAGCGGCCTTGTTGTCCATAGAAGCAGCCTTGCCTTGCCGTTTCCATGCCACTCCTCGTCGGTCCCAACTATAAAAGTGCATGCTCTAGCCAATGCAATTAAAAGACCGATCTGATAGAAGAGACTAGGCAGTATATTATACGTCAACACTCCTCCTCACGTGCGGCTTCTTCATGCCTAAACGTGGACTGAAAGAGGGCTGCAATTTAATGCGCCAGCTGGGTCTGCAATTTAATGTGCCAGCCGGGTCTTGAACTCAAGACCTTCACGAAATCAGTAAGGGCCGAGGTAGACACAATAGCCTGACGTAGAGCGACACGTGTTCGCCGTCTATCTCTCTGCCAACCCCGTCCACCATCGCCGTATGAAGCATATTGAGTTCGACATTCACTTCGTTCGCGAGCAGGTGGCTCTTGGAAAGGTTCGTGTTTTGCACGTTCCTACCACTCAGCGGTTTGCCGATGTCATGACTAAAGGACTATCGACCCCAGTCTTTGAGGAGTTTTGGTCCAGTCTCTGTGTCTCCGGCGACGCTTCGACTGCACGGGAGGGGAAGGGGGGTGTTGAGAGTACGTTGTCCACTGCATGTGTATGGGACTTGGGTCTGTATTTATACCGTTGTATTTCTCTCTCCCCCTTGTATATTTGTATATCTTGAGAGACAAGTAGAGGCCGGTCCACCCTGTACCTATGTATGTGCACTATGCACACGATTAATGATTATCGATTCGTGCAATCTCATTCTTCCTAACTAACACCAGCATCAGGTCGCCGCACCTTGCCTCGCCGGTTCAAGCGCCACACCTTGCCGTCTCAGCGCGCCTCGCTCGTTGCAGCACCTGTGCCCATCGGTCCCAGCAATCCTCGTAGCATCTGAGTTGTCGGTCTCAGCAATCAGCGAAGCCGGTTCCAGCAATTGACCTTGTCTGATGCAGCAATCCATGTCCTCGGTTCCAACATCAGGCGTTGTCATGGTCCCCCTAGCTTGCAGCAACCCGTGTCGTCGGTTCCAGCATTAGGCAATGTCGGTCCCACCATCGATGTCGGCCGCTCCCAGCATCCCCACCGGCCACTTCCAGCATCGCCACCCTGTGGTTGTAGCGGCCAAACCAGCCGCTCCTAGCATCGATGACGTTCATCGGTTGTTACCCCGTTTACAGACTTCGGCCGCGGAAAAGAATTCTATAAGACCAGGTCTCATCCAAGACCCATCCTGATGGATGACACGTGACATTTATAAATCACAAAGCATC